CTTTCTACTATTTATTTCAGAAAAAGAGAAGAACTTTCTGAAACAAAAAACGGCCATCTAAGTTCCAAGACGTGGCGGACAGCCCCGTCGTCCACCGGGACTTACTTCTGGACTAGGGTCCTCGTCGTCCTCTGGGATGTCCCCCTCGTAGGGGCCCAGGCGCGTCCTTTTGGCCAGCGGCACCTTGGCGAAGACGCCCCGGGTGGTCACCTCGGCGGCGGCGCCCTCGGCGTCCTCCGCGTCGTCGCCAGACTTCTTGTCGTCGTCGCTTTCGAGGTCTCGGACGACCAGTCCCGGGGGCAGCGAGGCCAGGATGCGCTCATCCTTCGGGGTGTCCTCGGCAACCTGAGCAGCGAGGACAAGGCACAGTCACAGCGTGGACGCGACGCTTGCACGCGAGCACGAGCGCGGCGGCGACCCCTTACCTTCGTGTCCTCGAGGATCTCGAACCCCTTGTGCACGGGGCAGTCGCCTGCCCAGGCCTTACGGCAGTCGATGCAGACTGAAACAAGCAACACGGACTTGTCGATACGATATCGAAACGACGTTCAAAAGAGGAAAACGACGTCGTTTTCGCGTCATTGAGGAAAGGAGGGGGGGGGGGGGAGGGATCGTGGTGAGGTCTGGAGAGAAGGTGGCACGATACTCACAGATCAGCTCGTCCTCGTCGGGGTTCTCCTTGTTATCCTCGTCGTAGAAGTACAGCTGCTGCACTCTTCGACTCTTCCTCGTCGGTTCTGTCGGCTTGGGCGCCGCCGGCCGCTTCGGGGCGGGGGCGGCCGGCTTGGCTGCAGCCAGTCTCTCTTCGTTGTTCATCATGAAGAAGGGCTTCCTCGGAGCCAGACCTGCAATACCACCCGACGATCGCGGTGAAAAGGGGGTAAGCTGGACGACATAACCGTAATCACATATTTTGATTGCAAAGGTAAAAGGGATATGCCATTGCCTCCGACTGCTGCGCTTCTGAACTTCGTTTAAAAATGGTCTAGAACAGCCCCCCCCCC